CCAAAGGGGGGTTAGTGACCCCACACACATAAACAGACTGAAACACACATACACACACACACACACACAGATAACAAGGGAGGCTAGCACTCCAACTTTTATTGCCCAAAGATTTAGGGACCTACAGACAGCAGAGTGGACCTAATGGACAGGGGTCTCTCGACTTGGTACACAACCCCCTCCCCCAGACATCCTGCCTTACATATCACTCACCCAACAGACCAACACCCTAAAGGAAGTTTCATTTAAGTTTGGCTTTTGTATACCCTGTATATTGATTTACTCACGACTACTAGTCTCAATATACAGATAGGTTATGTTGTATGTGTCCTTAGATAATCTTAGTGTTTTGTGTGCCACCCTTATAACCATGTTTACGGAGTATCACCTATTTTACCCCTTTACACTTGAACACATATAAATTTGAATAACTAAATAGGTATAGCTACCACTGCATATATGTTCTCGTGGTTATAACAACCCCCCCCTTCTCTTCCAACATTCCTTTGTGGTCCTTATCTGATCTTGGTCTGTTAGCAAGCTTTCTTTGTTCTACCATGCTATATTAAAAAGAACTGAATTAAGGTGTACATTATCCATTTTGGAGAAGATCAATTGGGATAAGCCACACCAATCAAGATATGTTGTGTCCAGATAAGCAACTTATAATGATATTACCACAAACTAACGGCCATGCCTATCTAAGGATAAGATGTGCTGCTTTTAATGTGAATATGTCATGGTATGTCTGCCTTGTAGCTTCGCTACCAATCCTTTACATTACCTGGTGATGCAGCTCGTGGGACGAGCTTTCTAACCCAGGATATTAAGCGATACTGGTAATTAGTGATTCCCATTTAAGTCTCACATTAACAGATTTACGGGGATACCTCAATTGAGTTTGGAGGAGCCGACCATTTGGCATAACGATTAGGCAATAATCGTCATTAAATAATAATTAATTAAAATTTTATTAATTTAAAACATATTGGTGGACATATTAAAATTTACCTGAGCTCATAATTCCTACAAATGGAACAGAATGAAGAAATACAGGAATTTATTATTTATAGACTTGCAATGCAGTTGTCATCGGTCCTGTTTATAATATAGGATTTCTAGGCGCAGCCAGGGTGTTGAGGGTGTCCAGTTTGGTGGCCTCAGGATTGCCTCGCTGCTTTTTGCGGATGATGTCGTCCTGTTGGTTTCATCTGCTGGGGACCTCCAGTGTGCTCTGGGGCAGTTTGCAGCCGAGTGCGAAGTGGCGGGGATGAGGATTAGCACCTCCAAATCCGAGACCATGGTTCTCAGCTGGAAACGGGTGGATTGCCCTCTTCTGGTAAGGGAAGAGGTACTGCCTCAAGTGGAGGAGTTCAAGTATCTCGGGGTCTTGTTCACGAGTGAGGGTAGGCGAGATCGGGAGCTGGACAGATGAATCGGAGCGGCGTCTACAGTTTTGCAGGCGCTTAACCGGTTCGTCGTGGCTAAGAAAGAACTGAGCCGGAAAGCAAAGCTCTCGATCTATTGGTCCATCTTCATCCCTACCCTCACCTATGGTCATGAGCTATGGGTAATGACCGAAAGAATGAGATCGCGAATACAGGCGGCCGAAATGAGGTTTCTCTGCAGGGTGTCTGGGCTCTCCCTTAGGGATAAGGTGAGAAGTTTGGATATCCGGGAGGGGCTCAGACTAGAACCGCTGCTTCTCCACGTCGAAATGAGTCAGTTGAGGTGGATTGGACATCTGGTGCGGATGCCTCCTGGGCGGCTACCCGAAGAGGTTTTCCGTGCATGTCCTACAGGGAGGAGGCCCCAGGGTAGACCCAGGACACGCTGGAGGGATTATATCTCTCGGCTGGCCTGGGAACGCCTCGGCATCCTCCCCGAGGAGCTGGTAGAAGTAGCTGGGAAGAGGGAGGTCTGGGTATCTCTCCTGAAGCTGCTACCCACACAACAACACAATCAAACTTTAAGAAACTAAGATAAGGTTATACACACACACACACACACACACACACACAGGTGTTTGTAATTATATCTTTGTGGGGACTCTCCATTCATTTATATGGGGAAAACATGATCACCGAAACCCCTACCCAGCCATAACCTTAACCATAAGTAACCAAACAAAATATGAGACTTTTTGCATTTATACTTTTTTGAATACATTCACAGATCTTTGTTGGGACCTGAAAAATGGTCTCCACAATGTCAAAAAACAGGGTTTTATTACATTGTGGGGCGATACTTGGTCCCCACAATGTAATATAAACATTATCCACAGGCACACACACAGCAGAGGCAGGATTTAAATGGCTAGCCCAGCAAGTTGTGAGACTACAGTGAAGAACGCTGCAGCACCCAAGGAAAAGTACATGCAATATAAAAATGTGAGTTAGCTTTGATTGGTGCTGTATATCGGAATACTCACAGCTGTAGTCAGAGCACCAAGCTCAGATTTCACTTTTTGTTCTGCATGATCATCACTGTGCTTTCCCAGCTTCCCCGGCAGAGAGCAGAACAAGCCCTGTGATAGATGTTAGTGTGTAAGCAGCCATGCCAAACCTTGAAAACTGGGTACATGTAACGTGACAACCCCACTGATGCATGGCTGACTTCCTGGGAAACCGACAGGACTGCTGACTCCATCCAGCTACTGTTTTGGGGACTTCCACTCGTCCCCTCTATTCTCTGCCCCCCCTCCCTCCCCATTTGGCCCAGAATCACTGCCATCCATTTGCCTGTCACACGCCTTGCCAGTACACACCCTCCCCCCTCTGATTTTCCATACTCCACATCTCTGGCCTGAAGAGGGAGCAGGAGGGGTGAAGTCACGTGATTTCTAGGAAACAGCGAGAGGCCTAGAGCATGGGAAGGGCCCTGAGCAGCTGAGGCTGACAGTAATAGGTGGATGTATGTTGAATTTACTGAGCTATGTTATCTTCTTATTTAAATCTTAATACGGTTCAGAATCTGCTGATTGGGAGTATTGTATTACTTTGTCCGTCTGAGTTTAGAGAATGTCGACAAACAGGACCAAAACAACAGGCAGTAAGTAGGAAGTTTCTTTTTGTTTGTTTGGTTTGCAAATCCATGTTGATTGTTCAAGAAGTAGTTGAAAATGGAATCTGTCACTATCCAGTGCCTGAATATTTTTAAAACACTCCATCCACCTTTAGGTGAACACAATAATTACACATTTGAAAGGAAATTATCCTTTATTTGCCTAAGTACATTGGAAAGCTTTTTCTCACATATCCTGTCATGCTTTAATATTGCATTATCCAAAGCAGGTTGGTATTGACTTACAAACAGATACAATTCAGAAAGAAGCTTGGGATTTATTTGCAAGGTAAGGCCACTTATCTGGCACCCCAAGCCACTGAAAGTGTTAATTAAGGGCCAAATGGAAATGTTCTGCCAAGGCCAAGGTTGAAACTGGCAACCTTCCAATCACAAAGAAAGGAGGTTAATCCACTGAGCCACACACCCCATGCTCAGCAGAGTAGCCAAACAGTGCAAAGACACAAGACTAACATTCTGTCCTAACATATCTCCTACGTCTTTGATATAATTCTGCTAGAGTGGTACACATATTGCGAACAGACATGGAGAGAACACAAACAAGTGTATGCTAAACTTGAAGACTAACCTTAGCAAAAGAGCTAAACTTCTTAAATTTGGCCGATCGATCCATCTGCATGATACCCTCTTCCCCCCTCAGCAAATTTTACTGACAGCACTCCCACCCCCACACTAATCATTAAGGTTCACTGCTGGCACTCTGTACTTTGATTAGCCTATTATTAATGTATCATCACTTTTACTTCCTTCTCCTTTCTCTTTTGGCTCCAAAAAATAGTTCAAATAGCCCACTTAGGAAGGCTCCCTACCAACATCAGCCTAGGACACCCAGAAAAGTTAGTCCACCACTTGTCACTCACTCTCTGTATGTCACAACAGAGTCATGAAGGGATGCCACTGTATACATAAATGCACTGTATACATATGTGCCCTATACATACCACTCTATACTTGTATATGGAAATATGACAAATTACATCCATTAAACCCCATATTTTCCTCGACTCCTGGCGTCCTGCGCTTTTGTCTGCGCTCCGGGCTCTCTCCGATGTGACAACACTATACTGACATAAGACAGACATTACACTTAACATAGACAACAAACACAAAATAACAGAATAGAACCAAACATAATGTAATATGAAAACGCAGTGACCAGATTAAAATAGGTAACCTTAAGAGAGAAATACTGTTCTGCAAAGCAAGCAGTCTGTGGGAACACTTCCTAAAAGTTATAAAGCAGATTTAACTGAACAGGTTAGGTTGTTAAAATGAATGGGAGTTGGTTTACTTGGTTGCAGGAGGTGATGGGGTCTTGGCAGTAGGTTGCAGAGGTGATGAGCTGAGGGAATGGTGGCACTCAAGAAGGTGCAGCGTTTGGACAACCCCAGTGACTCGTAATTATACCCTCAAAGGTACAAATTGGTACTTTTTCTGATAGTGTAGGGTGGCTCTCAGGCTGATCCAGTGGTTTCTCAGTTTGTTAGTATTTGGCTGAAACAGGCATTCTTTGAAAAATTGCTCTTGCAATATATTTTTATGTCTTTGTAATGATAGGAAAACTAATACAAACGAAACGGTTCAATATTCTGGCCATTTGATATATAATAATGCTTCTTGATACAAATGTTAAAAATAAATAATCTTTCAGTTGCAGAAAAAACAGTTAAATTCATGTGGATGCAAAAGATTGAACTTATTTCTAACACAATTCATATGACATCTGTATTCTGAAAATATTGTTTATTCCGAGCCATGGGTGTCGTTAGGTCCGATCACTGCGGGCTATAGCCCCGAGTATTTTAGCCCCGATGCCAATTATCCTCCTTCAAAAACAAAAAAGTCAAGCACCAGGTAAACTTGACTTAGCCCCTGATCTTTTCAATTGCTAGAAACTCCCCTGCTCCGAGCATATGATAATGATGCAGAATTACTTAAAATCCAAATAAAACCTCTGCTACAAGTGGGAATCAAACATTAAGTATGATCGATCGCTTTATGGTTTGTCGCGATGTAGGCTGGGAATGGCACGTAGATCGGGTACGTGCAGCCTGAAGTGAAAGGAGAAACTATAATGACGCCAGCAATACGGAGCATCACATAATACTGCATTGATTGTACTGCTGTTTCGGCATGATGCATGCGACCCGCAAGACGCACCCCGAAAAGTTAAATATTTTGTTCGGAAAAACAAGAGGAAAAACAGGTCAGTGTGGAGATGCTCGTTATTAACATTTTACATCCATCTATCTATCCATCTATCTATCCATCTATCTATCCATCTATCTATCCATCTATCTATCCATCTATCTATCTATCTATCTATCTATCCATCTATCCATCTATCTATCAAATCATTAGCCATTCATCCTCCATCCAGGCGATGGGAGCCTTAAATGTTGCGTTTTAATTGAAATTATACCAATAGTCTTGTGAGTATAATAACGTGTCTGCATGGTTCCAGTTTTTGGGCTACGATTAATAGTGGTGGCTGGTGGCTAAAAAACCAAGACCGTAAGAAGACAATACATTTTGCAATATTGTAGGAGGACAGGGGTCATGTTTTCTAAAACCAGATAAACTCTTTCATAAAATCAATGACTTCTCCCTTATCATTAGCACAGAGACAACTAGCAGCGGCACAGACAGGGAGGCCAACGATTTATATGATGCTAAAGAAAACAAATGCGCGCCACTACAAAGCTACAACACTTATCATTCACAACATAAAAACACGGATACGCACATTAAGTAACTAACACACTGGAGCGTATATAGGTAATATATATTAACAATGGGGGGACGGGTATGCCAAGCCGTTTTAACATTTAATCGCTAGTTTGGATATGTATTGCAGATATCTCTAATTCAATTCTTCCTAGTCAAAAAGCATTTCAAATATCCACAATGACATTCTTCATATCCACAATTGTCATTTCAGATATCCACATCGTCATTCTTCCTAGGAAAAATTACGTCATTTTTGCCATTCATATCTATAGGGATTTTAATTTCAGATATCCACAATTATATTTCAGATATCCAGAATGCTCATTATTACAAATAAATTAATAACTACATACGTTTTAATAGAAAGCTAATAACTTGCACGATAAAATATAAAAAGTTTTTTGTTTCGTCAGCCTCACGTTGCTGAATATATAGTTTTTGCTGTTAATGCAGCAGAACAGAAAGTGATCAGCAAGATACGTTTAGCTCATCTGCACTGTACGTTCAGCACAAATACAGACTCCAGTGCAATTAAATCAATATTAGCCGGATTTACCAGTTTTGTTCCAGTTTCATTTTTGACTTGGTCACCCAGAGGGTCTACTGACAGACAGACAGCTGGCGCAAGTGGCGTGTTGAGGGGCTGTCAGCTGTTCGCAGTTAGTGCATGGGACAGTCATTCATTCACAAAATGCATAATTTTGACCAGAGCATGTAAGTGGACCTCATCGCTCACGGAGCTGTATGCTTCTCCAGCTCCCCCCACTCACAGCCGCTTCGCTCATTATCGCTCCCCTGGTTTATTTCTGGGTCAGTCATATGTGTGAGCTGGTCATATGACAGTCATATGACAGGGTGTGAGCTGGTCTGGTACAGCACCGGTATATGAAAGTGGAGCGAGACGGAGCGAGTGATGAGGTGACGCTAATTGTAGATACAGTAGTCAATGGACCCATTTTAGGTTAAAATGTAGATATACATGTATGCAATTGCTTTTTTACTAGTCATAATATGAATTGTGGATATCTGTAATGACATTTTTACTATTCACAATGTATTTTTGGATATTCATAATTACATTATATATATCTGGAATGTTTTTTTTCCATTTGAATATCTGAAATTAAAAATATGACTAGTAACAACTGGATTGTAGATATCTGAAATGGGAGTTTTTCCTAGTAAGAATTTATAATGAACATTCTGGATATCTGAAATATAATTGTGGATATCTGAAACTGAAAGCCATATTAGACATGAATGGCAAAAGTGACATGATTTCACCTATGAAGAATGTCATTGTGGATATCTGAAATGCTCTTTTTGACTAGGAAGAATTAAATTATGGATATCTGCAAAACATATCCAGTCTAGCGATTAAATGTTAAAACCGCCACTTATGCTTTGTAAAGATTTAAAGATATCTTAAATGGAATTGTGACTAGGAGAAATAAAGTTTTAGATATCTTGAAATACATTTTCTACTAGGAAGAATGTGATCGTGGATGTCTGTAATTGCCATTCTGTAGTAGTAAGAATACAATTTTGACTAGGAGAAAAGCTATTGTGAATATCTAAAATGTAATTACGGAGAGGAGTGTGACTTAATTAAATGTTAAAATGTTTATTTCTGTCAAATGGGCAGCGCAGACAAATGGGCAGGAAGCCAGGGATCGGGAACACGGGGTTTAATTGAAGACAAGGCACGCAACAATACAATGACCGGACTGGGGATACTAACACAGACGTGGACTAATACACAAGACAAGTCAAAATCAAATAGGAAACAGGTGATAACAATTAGGAAATAACACGAGGTAACGAGGTGGGCGTGGCACACACGAGGATCGTACGGAGCTGGGCGTGACAGAACCCCCCCCCCCAAAGGCGCGCACATCGGCCGCACCCCAGGGGAGGCGACGGATGAGACAAGACCGGGGAACAGGACCTGAAAATCAAAACCCAAAACATCAACGAGGGACCGGGAACAGAACAGACACACAGAACAGACACAAGGGCAAAAGCCAAAACAAAACCTGACACAAAACGGGAAAGGCAGAGATACACACAAGAAAGGGAGAGACAGAGGGCACAAAGAACGGGGAAACAAAAGGACCAGGGGTGAACGGGGGAGGAACAGAGGAACGAGGAGCAGACACAGGCGGGACGAAGGGAGGAGGAGCAGACAGGGGAGACCAGACAGGAACGGATGGGGGACAAAAGGGAGCGGCGGTGTTTGGGGCACCTCAGGTATCTCCGAGAGCGGTCCACATGGCAGTCCGCAGGAGAGGGTTACCTTACGCAGGTTCGCTTCCGCCGCCCCGCTTCTCAGCCGCCGCACGTTGTTGCGCACCTCCCTCGCAAGGTGCGTGTCTCCGGGCAGGGACATCTCTTCTAAGACGTCCCTGCTCCGGCTGGCTATAGCCCGTAGTACGGGATCATCCCGAATTTCGGGCTGATTCAGCCAATATAAAACCTTGACAGTGAGGTCGAGGTATTCAGCCTCACCGATCGGAGGTGTTTTCTTGCGGAGTCCGGTCATATATAAGGAGAAGAGGTACAGCCCTGCTGTCGGTGCTGTGACTGGGAAGCAGAGGAAGCAGAGAATTAAAAAAAACTTTTCTGAAGTGATCTGAGTGATATTTCCTTAATATGGAGAACAGAGCTGAGAATGCAACAATGCAGGTAGTTTTTTTTCATAAACTATTGTTGTTATAGTTACAATATATAAAGTGAAATTTATCTTTCCATCTTACTGTTATTCATTTTCATTAATCCAATAGTTTAAGTGTGTTAAGTATTATGTATGCCCGTCCCCCCCTAAAACTACGCCTATGATTACACAAATAAGCAGCAGCATGCAAGGCTTACCAATGCTGCATTCGATTATCTCGGTGAAGTTGAAAATTCTGAGGTGCATCAAGTCACATTCGACCAGTCTCCCATTGGAGCTACACATCTCGGAACAAACATGGTTGCCTCCACGGACACGCTTTTGTTGTTGTCTGTGCACAAAAAGCTCATAGAAGAGAGATAACCGAATGCAGGACAATAACCTGCATAATCAGTCTTTGTTGACTGGCCCTATGGTGTCACATTACTCCCATCTGAGGAGTCAGCTGTCCCCGGCGACCCCCAACCGAGTGCTCTCTATCACCATTGCTCGGTATTCGGTATGTCCACAGGTCCAGAGACAGGTGGTGGTCCCATTTGCACTAGTGTTGGCCGATGAGGATGACAAACTGCGCAGGAAGCGTATGATGAAACCCCTCCACCAGCCCGTCACTTTGGGAATGAAGGGGGTGGTATAGTTCTTCAAAATGCCTAGTGCTTGCAGACCTCGCCATGTGCCTGTGCTTCCAAGGTCCAACCCTGGTCAATGTGCACTTCGGCACACTGAGGCAGCAGAACTCCTCCTCCAGAAGTTTCTCAGCTGTGGTTGCTGTGCTCTAGTTAGGAACCGTGTATGCCTCGGGTCACTCGGTGTAATAATTCATGCCTACCAAGACATAGCAATTCCCAGGATCTCTACAGGGAGAACAGCCCAGCATGTCTACCCTCACCCTCTCCATTGGTGCTTCTATCTAGTACGACTGCAGCAGTGCTCAGGAGTGATGGCTTGGATCCTTCTGGGTAGTGTATACATCGCAGCAATGTATGAATAGTTTGGTGTCCTGGCTGCAGCCAGGGTAATAGAAGCAGCAATGCAGTTTTCCCAAAGTCTTTGCTGCTGGCTCCCATCACACTAGTGAAACCCGCAGGACTGTGAGACGAAGGCTCCGGAACACCCAACAGTTGAGCAGATGCCAGTCACATTCTGGGGACTGCCAGCACCAGTACAGCAGCTCATCGAGCACCTTGAAGGTGGATCACTGGGAATAGAGGGTCTAAACATCCCTCCATTCTGGCCACCTACCTGCCTGCAGCAAATCCAAGACTTGGGTCAGCAAAAGGTCCTTTGAAGCTCCACTGCTACTGATAATCAATGACCTCTAGTGCCTCGGCATCAGTGTGCTCTTGCGTAGTGACAGCATCTTGCAGGGGCGAGAAGAGAGGGCGCCTGCATTGCCATGGAGCTTACCTGCCTGGTACTGGACCTCAATGTTGTACCTCTGGAGGGCCTCAGTATTATGGAAGATTATCAATTTTCTGCTCTACTGCCTAACATTGGGAAACCAAACCAACCTATTCACTTGAGCTAGGTTGGGGCTCCTTTCCACCCTAATGAGGAAACTTTAGGGTGGTCTGCTTCCACTCTTGGTGGTGCAGCTGGCTGAGCAGCTGGCCAGCATGAGCAGCCTGGTAGGCAGAACACATCAACACTGACCCTTGGGACAGACAAGCCTAACTGCAGGTTAAAACACTACACGGCTACAACACTTATTATTTTAAACATAAAATACACAGATGCAAAGATTAAATAAAACAATTACAGTACTTACAGGCGTGAAAAAAAATGAAGAGACTGCACTCAATATTTTTAAACAAATCCTGGTTTAATTGTGGTTCTGCTGGCAGAAGGATACACTGAGCAACAGGTTGCTTCCAGTACATTGTGGTACATTAAAAAAATGGTACACTAAGGACAATCTATATTTGCTGAACCCCTGTGGATGCAAACTTGGTTTCTTCAGTAGTGGTCCGATTATTGCCATTAAATTCCCATTGCCATTAAATCGATCAGGCATATCATCTGAGGACAGGGACGAATTCATTATGGCAACAATAAGTACCATTTATATAGCGCCTTTCACAATCCCAAGGTCGCTTTACACACACACACACACACACACACACACATGCAGGCAGCAACCGATTGTTGCAACTGCAAGCGTGTACACCATGGACAGTTGGTCTTCCTATCTAAATGGGGACCGTCCATTCATTTCTATGGGAAAAACCATAATCCCAATCACGACACCCTTAACCTTATCATCCCTAACCTTAACCATAAGTCACCAACCCAAATACAAGATTTTTGGCGTTTTTACTTTTTGATTGCATTCACAGATTTTTATAAAACTGAGGTTATCCAAATGGGGACCTCAAAAGATGTCCCCAAAAGTAGGGAAATTTCAGGTTTTACTACACTTTGGGGACAATTTGGTCCTCAAATGTGATCTATGCAAATCCACACACACACACACACACACACAAATCAGTAATCAGTACAGGAGGAAGAGACAGAAGAGAAATGTTCAAGGAAAAGAAACGTCTTTATTTCAAATGTGAAGGAAGATAAACAACAATAATCACAGAGTGATTGTAGGATAGAGTTCCATAGTTATGGGGCCATGGCACTGAAGGACCTTTCACCCATAGAGAAAATTGCAGTGCATGGAATAGCAAGGAGATTATTATTAGAGGATCTGAGAGAGCAAGAGGGTGAGTCGAGAGTCAAAAGTTCACTGAGGTAGCAAGGAGCAAGGGTATGTAGAGCTTTACAAGAGAGAAGCAATATTTTGAATTTGAATCAAGACTGAACTGGTAACCAGTGTAGCTGAGACAGGATGGGTGTGATGTGAGCGGATCCTTTGGTGTGAGTGAGACCTCTAGCAGCAGAGAATATACTGAAGCTTTTGAATAAATAGTGCAGGGAGGCCAACGAAAAGGGAGTTGCAGTAGTCAATACAGGATGTAATAAAAGCATGTTTGCTTTGTCTCTTTTTAACTTGTAGCCTGTTGAGATCCTGTGATGTAAAGGGAATTATAAATTAAATGTGTTATTATTATTATTATTATTATTATTATGAACCATATGGAGTAAATGAAAAAATACAATAAATATGCCAGTGGATGCAGAAACCATTTGCAAAAACTTGCGAACCATTATAAATAGCCCCTGTGTGTAATCGTAAGTGTAAATACTTTTTGTGCTGTGTATCCAATTGTCACATATGCCCTTAGCTGTGTTTCTACTTGATCCATGCCCGATCTTCACATGTCTTTAGTCATTGTGCAGTGGCCCACCCTGTGTGAGCCTTCTCATCCATTATGGGACCTCCCTGTGTTTTCGTACCATGTGCTGTCAGAGTGCTGTGATTGCATGTTGTGTGGTTCTTTTAAGGACTACATTAAAAGAGCAACTTTGTGAGGACCATCTTTCCTCATCTCTTCTACTAGCATTGTGATTCCTTAGTCTGCCAAGCACCACAATGGTGTTAGAAGTGGGATGTCAGAAGTGATCCCACTGGTGCTGCTGGAGCAGGTGCTTTATGATATGATCTGGGAAGTCTGGTCCAGCCTGCCAGACTTGTAGGCAGCAGTGAAGTGGCAAACCGTCCACCCATCCAGACTGCAAGTGGTGAACTGCTTGGTGCAAGTGAAAAATTCACTTTGCATGTTCACTCTGCCAGCGGCAAACTGCCCGGCACTAGTGAAATGCACTGGATGGGTGAATATTATGTCATGAAAGAGCACTTTCCATAAAAATAAGTGCGATTGTAAAGTGTTTTTTGGCTTGAAACAAAATGAGTTACATTGCTGGTTTACACCATAAAAAATAATCTTGGTCTCTTGCTGTTAGGTGGAAAAGAGGTCACAGTGGGTTCATGAAACTTTACTTTCATGTGACACTAAAAGTAATTTGCCATGTGGATGCAGCCTGGGGATGGCAAACATCGCTGCGGACTCCGACCGCTCACTGGTCATCAAGTGCTCTTTGCTTGGCAGCTGCAAGGAGCTGCAGTGTGACCCCAGCTGCAGCCTCAACCATCAGAGGCAGCAGGTGGGGCTACTCTGTTCGAACTGCTAGTAAGAGTGTCACAGCTGGGAGGCCCGGCTGGCTCAGGAGAGGGACCAGCAGGACTGAGGCATCAACGATAGCATCACGCGGCTATGAGACGGCGCTGCACAGCCAGGAGAAGGCATGACACAGCTTGTCATTTACTTACCATTTTCTTCTCCTGTCTAAACTCGATGCCCCGAAGCACTGTTGTGCTTGGTAACGTGGCCCACACCCTTTGAGAGCTGGAGGTGCATCCGGCAGCAGACCCCTACTACACCGCCCGACGCAAGGAGATTTTCCCAGGATGCCCATGCTTGCAGTTGCAACAATCCGTTGCTGCCTGACTGTTGTTGCTTCTGACAAAGTTCTGATGGTCTCTGCAGAGGCCAATACATGCTGCTTAATAAGGCTGCTGTTTCCGTTAGGCTACCCGTGGACTGTGGAGCCGACATCGGTCTAGTGATAAATGCCCACTTTTGCTTAGTGGACCATAATGGTCATAGAAGTGTTATGAAGGCAGTACCCCCCAATTATGGAGGGGTAATTCGCACTCTGCTTGTAAGTGTGTGCAATTTTCAGTGTACTGTGTGAATGATTTTGGTTTCATATAGCTTTATACATGGTTTCACATATGTATATGCATGGTAATTCTGAATAAAGTCCCTAACGGCCCCTCATAACATCTGATTTTACTTGCACTGAGGCATACTGATTTTTTAAACAACTCCTCTTGTGCCGGCCACGCGGACGGGACGGGACGGGACGGGGCGGGGCGGGGCGGGGGACATACTAAGAGATCTGCGCAAGCAGGCAGTCAGAAACACCGAACTCAAGGTAGGTGTACGTAACTGATTTAAATTGGTGCGAAGCACATATTTATATTTTATTAATCATTGTTCCTAAAACCAATCTTTAAATAAGCTGTCGGATGTTTCAGATGTTTTAATTAATCATTAATGTTTTTCGTTTCTCGTTCGAATTGAATCATTTGGCAGATATATAACTTTAATTTAAACTGATATTATTTTCATTGTTAATATTATTGATGATGAATTTACTTTAAACATTTTGCTACAAATGTAACGGATGCTTCGGTACGGTCCCAAAAACTGACATATATTGGCCTGTATGAGTTATAAGTTAAATCGCAAGAACTGGTTAATGATTTTCTGTGGTACTTGTGTACTTTATTGGTACTGTATATATAGGCTATTCGTATAGCATGTTTGTACTTACATTACAAATTTGGCACAACAGATTCTTTGGATGGAGGCAATATCTGTTGCTTAGAAAATCGTTTCGTATTATCGTAAACTTCTGTGTATAGAAATACATTTTGCTTGCAAATCGATTTGCAAGCAAAATGTATTTCTATACACAGAAGTTTACGATAATAAACAGATTAGATCTGATCAGAGTCGATTGTAGCATTTGATTAGATCTGATCAGAGTCGATAATAGTATTTGATTAGATCTGGCGAGCAGTTGGTGCGAAATGTATGCGAATATACGGAACTAATGGCTGAAGCTTTTCTAAATATGGTAACCGCCTATGATGAAGTAGATATACATGCACGTAGCAAACTTTCCGACTAGACTGATAATTTCAATCTGCACACAAATTTATCTCAACGCTCTTGATGTAGCTAGTTTTAGATTTATAATGTAATAATTTTCCGTAAAATTTCTTGGGTGAACGTGACACTCTGAAAGCGTGTCACGCCAGATACGTGGGAGCTGGCACCCCGACTGTGATATGTATATATATGCATATTAGTTTTTATTATTTATAATGTATATTTTTGTTTTAATGCTTTAAAATGTAAAAATTATTTTTAAAACTTCTTTTTCGAAATATTTTTCCCGTTGCCCCACTGTTTTACGTGTCTGCTGTATTTCATTTAGCCTACTGTACACGCCCAGCTTTGCCTAAAAAGCTCGCTTCTTTTATTTATGAAGAAGACTGCGGAGACTTTCATAAAACACGTAAAATATAGCCCTCTGCTAAAATAAATAGCTTAATTTCAGTTAAATTTGGAAATGTCTCTTGTGTTATTAGACAGAGAAAGAGAAAGTGAAGAAAGCCCACAGCCAGGCCAAAACGAAGTAACGATGAAAGAAGACGGAGCTGAAGCGCCACATGAAAAAAAGATCGGGGGAGACGGCAGAAATTTCTTCCCGAGACTGACGGTGAAGTTTAGTTTTATGCAGAAAAGGAAAAGTGACACCAGTGTCCGGAGAAGCCCATCGTCTGAAGGTGGTACTCAGACAGGTAGGCTACGTTCCCGTAGCAAAGATACGTGCGTTGACAGCGGCATCGGAGAGAATTTGATTTTGGCTGCACAAAAATTCAAATGGCAATTCATTTTGCAATTGGCAATTCAATATTCAATCAGAGCATGCATTTGTCATTTCAATATTTAATCTGAGCATGTAATTTGAAAATATATCTTGC